ATATATATAATGTACGCTAGTAAAAAAATTATGAATATATGTTTATGGTCTACTCCCTTATGAGGGGTCAGAACTGCAGCCCCCCTGGGTTTGTGTTGAATATTGAAAATGAGAAACAGACCAGAAGAAACTGTGACCCAAAGAGAAAACACACCAAAATCTAAGGATGTGGATCACGTTTGATCTTTAATCTTGACAGCATTTGAAGCCATTTGATGGAAAAATTATTTACAAATTAATGGTAATCGATGACACTGACAGGACATTGGTTAAAAAAACAACAAAGACATGAGTTAAGGATTTGAAGTATTTCTGAACCTTAAAAACACTGCTTTTATATCCAAACTATGAAGTTAAATATATTTATAATATTTATATTGTATTTAAAGAATACTTCAAATTTACAACATGTATTCTATAAACAAATATAAAGGACTTAGGCACACTTTTGTCTCAGACAATCACAGGAGCAGGAATTCACAAGCCGTCCTCGAGCTGTTTCTGTAAAGCTGACTTGAACTTTGGCCAAAAGCAACTTTGAATCCTGCCTCATCACACTGTCCACAACTGAGCTCAGTACTTGTTGGATGGTATTTACTGTGGCAATCAAAGTACACAGTCATGATACACTAAAGGACTTGGCTAACACTGCCAACGAGCTCAGAAAGACGGGGTTTTGTGACCTGCTCCTGAGTGGATTCTTCAAGTAGACCTGCTGGAGCATAAACCTTACAGCCACCACCATCATCATCATCATCATCATGGTCCAGCAGGGTTTCCAGTGAGGTGAGAGCAAAGCTTGGAAGGGAGCAAAGATTAGAGGGCAGTGGGACAAATCAGTCACGGGTTGGAAAAGGATGGTACTTCCCATCTGTGTTATTAAGGTATACAGTCACATAAGGTTCAGAGACAACAAACAGCAGCTACGCTATCTACAAAAAAAAAAAAAAGTCTACATCGCAACAGGAATGTACGACGATGATACGGATGATTAAAAGCACGCAGAGAGGATGAAGGAGGGCAGGCCGAGCGGGGCTTTTGCTAGAACAGTCTATAAGTCCGACTCGGGCATGTCCGGCATGTCGGCCATCAGGTACCCGATGCCGTAGCGGCCGTTGGGCGCCGTGTTGGCGTCGGTGCCTCCACCGCCGCTCGGCTTGCGGTAGATGCTCTTGCCGGGCATGGGCGAGGGCGCCTCGCTGGGAGACTTGCCGTGGATCAGGCTGGCGTCGTCGTCGTCCTCTGGCTGGGGGCTCTCCTTGATGACGCGGCCCTTCTTGTAGGAGACCGAGGAGAGGCCACCGGCGCTCTCGTCGATGATGTTGAAGTAGCGCAGGCAGAAGATGACGGGAACGGGCATGAGGGCCATCACCACCAGGGAGATGCAGACCGCCGTGCCCCACGGAGGGAAGCGCAGGGTCTTCTCTACGGCCTGGAGGGAAGAAGAGGAGGGTTTTGTACTTGTCAGACTTCTCACAAACCTTTGAACTAAAGCAAACGAAGAGCTAATGAAAGCTAATGATATTAGTTGTAGCTGTACCCCACACTACCCGTGTCTGTACCCTCTGTACCCCGCTTTATCTCAGCTGTTACAGCCGTTTAACCCGGTGTTAACGTGAGGTAAGTTGTTTGTCCGAGCCCTCTTTAAATGTGCACGTTAGACTCGCTGACAAGTCTGTTGTTTTTCTGATCCTAAGTCAGAACAAACTGTGGCCTTCATGTCTGCTCCGTGTTCTGTCCTGTCAATCAAACTGACCCTGGATCTGTCCATGCATCCCTAACCCCTAAACACAGTTACAGATTTTGTTTTTTCATAAAGAGAACGTCAAACAAACATGCCGTTCTGGTCAGTCCATTTTATTGTCACAGTTTATACTTTTGTTTTTGTATTTTAAAGCCACAGTTTGATTTTACATTTATGTTAAAAGCACAAGAGCGCCTTTTTATGTTTCAATGGTTTATTTTACCCTTTGATGTACATTTTTGCTGTTATGGTCCATTTATTTTTGAGTTTATTAAAGATCTAGAGTGTAGACAACAAACAGACAGTGGCAATAATTCCATTTGTAGGGACTTTGATAAAATTTTCAAACTTATTTTAGAGATATTTTTAGTTTTTGTACTTGTAAGGCTCTGTGTACAGATTCCAAAACTATTTAGTTTTTAAAATTGGATCGCCCCCATTAAGGATTTAGAGGTCTTTAAAGGCTGAAAGTTAGGAAGCAAGAGCTCCACTGACTTCCATTATAACATAAAAACGTGCGGGGCTCAGTACGTGCTGAGTACGCGTCACAATTTTGCAACAATTTTTCAAACCAAAGCAGAAAACAAACTAGATAAAACCTTAAGATAGATTTCAAAATGATAATGGGAGACTAAGCATGAAAACGAGGGAAAAAACTCACAAAATCCTGACCGGGATCAGGCAGCGCATTTATCAAAGTGAAAAAGAAAAAAATTGTGTAGGTCTTCTGGGCGGGTTCTTCTCTAATGAAACGTTTCGTCTCTCCTCCAAGAGACTTCTTCAGTCTGAGAGTTTCAGACAAAATTCAGGCTTTTAAGCCCTGCCTCCATGAGGATGTTCTCATTCTTGATAGAGAGGAACGTTGGTTTGAGAGAGGAGTAA